TTTGAAGCACATGGCTATATGGAGGACATGGAAAGATGTCACAAATAAGACATATCCTGAGGGGATTAGGAAGAATAATATTCTTATTAGAAAAGGGGGGGGAACGTACATTCTGGCTACCTAGAGGAATAAATCCCTGCAGGATGCACCCTCCACAGGCATTCTGTGTGTGGGGGGGCTGCTCTCTGGGATCTCGAGAGCCTGGAGCTGTTTACCTGGGGCACTGCAAACACCTCCTTGTGCTCTGCTCTACAATATCATTGCTGCGCAAGTGCTTTGTTTCTTTTAGTCCTTTCTGTTTATAAGCATTCTGAAGCATCTTCATTTTTTGAGAGAAGCGAGGAAGCAGTTGCTTGTTTATGTGGAGGGGTTAAACTCAGAGGGTTGTTCTTTATTTAATTTTGGGAGAGCAGTAAAGCTGGCAGGCGTGCACACCACATTCTCAGAGCGCCGGCCGTGCTGTGCGTTCACGGCTGCCTTGGGCAGAGAGCACACCAGAGCTTCTATGGGCATAAAAGGAGCTGTGAAAACACAAGTGCCAGTGACCTCCCCAGCACATGAACTGGTTCTGCACATATTTCATGCTTGGTTCCTTCCTGCTGAAAATGTAGCAGTGCTTAGGTGGTGGGTAGCACTGGGATCTGGCATCTCATGAAGAGCTCACCACAGCTCACTCCCGCCCTTCCATGGTCCCCAGTGACAGATCCACTGCACTGGACTCATGCCTCTGAGTTGCTTTGATTCACTCACAGAAAACCTAGGGGAATGGCCTTAAGCTGAAGTTAGAAAGATTTAGATTAGATATGAGGGAGAAATTATTTCTGTGAGAGTGGTGAGGCATTGGCATAGGTTGCCCAGAGAAGCTGTAGCTGCTCCATCCCTGGAACTGTTCAAGACCAGGTGGGATGGGGCTTGGAGCAACCTGGTCTAGTGGAAGGTGTCTTTGCCCATGGCAGGGTGTTGGAGCAAGATGATCTTTAGGGTCCCTTCCAACCCAAACTATTCTGTGATTCTATAAAACATTCAGCTCTTCTGGATGGCATCCCAGGCTGTGCCTCAGAACCTGCTGAGCACCAGGGGTGGCACAAAGGAAGAGGCTGGATGGTACTCCTGGAGCAGGAAGATGTGGAGAGATGGTCCTCTCCCCTTTCTGCAGGACTGCCTTGTCTGTGTTGGGCAACTTCACCCCAAGTCTCCATTAGTTGGCTTTGTGTTTATGTTGTTGGGAAAATACTTCTGCATTCAGGACAGCAGTAACCAGGAGTATGAGTTAGCTGATGGCTGGGGGTTCACCTCAGTGCTGCTTCAGTGCTTCATGAAGTTATGTCTTTGGGAGCTCAGAGCTTAGGCAGGATTTTTGTCTGATTGAAAAATCAAAACCTTTACGGGAATTGTAATACAAATACTTATGTTTCTTTAAGCTTGTGGTGTTGACTCTTGGTGCTGTACACTGGACTGCTCTGAAGGTATAATTGAGGTTGCTGTCACCCCATGGCACAACCAGGGGTCTTTGGGAGTTACATGGCCTCACAAGGAGCAAGATCCCACTTAGCTGCTGATGGCATGAGGGCTTAGACCACCCCACCCACCCACAGAATTCCCCACCTGAAACACCAGCACTTGTCTGTGCAGACACACAAGTGGGGTCTGCTGCCCTGGCATTAGCAGGGTGTGAGGGACTGGTCTGGCTCCCTGCTGGTGTGTGACTGCCCTGCCCAAGCTCTTCCCTTGAGGAGAAAAGGACACAAGCAGCCCAAGTCCTGGCAGGCACCTAGGCTGGGCAAGATGAGGTGTGGCCCATGCAGGGTGCAGCAGGTGCCATGGCACATAACCCACACTAGGCCCTGGTGCATGAGCTGGGACTTGGCTTCAGGGTACTCTGCTGCCTGTGGTGGGTAGGTAGCTCACAGCACCCTGAGTTACTTATCTGTTTGTCTCAGATTGGTCTGTGCTCATTCACCATTGATTTTTGAAATGGTTTGTTCTTGGCACAGATGGAAAACCTCAAAACCAAATAAAATCTTACCACCATTTTTCTTAATTCTCTTATGTTTTCAAGCATCAACTCCTTTGGAGGCCCCTTACAAGAACACAGGGCTGCAGTGCCTCAGTGTAGGTTTTCTTTGCAGTGTTTTTAACTTCATAATGTATCTGATTACTCTCAGATTCACGTGTGCTTCCTTGACATCACACACACTGTGGTTCTGGCTCAGGGCAGACCTGAGGACAGAGGCACAAGTGAGTGTCTCAGATACAAGCTCCATCCCAGCACCTCCATGCACTGCCAGCCTCCAATGTCATACAGCCACAGAATGCTTCATGGGGAAAGATTTTTAAAATCATTGAGTCCAACTGTTAACCCAGCACTGCTGAGGTCACCACTAAGCCATGTCCAAAGCAGGTAGAACCCCTGCACTAGGATTCAGGCACAGCATTGACCCATAACCAGACTTGTCAGGCTTTCTGTGGAGTGTTTGGTGTTAATGGCTTTGCACAGCTGTGGGTTAGGAGAACTTAGTCTACAGTATTTTAAATATTATTCACTAAAATACAAACTTTGGGCCTGACAGACATTACAATAATGATTCCCAAGCTGTTGAGACACTGCTGTATCTCAAATGAATTCTTGGAGTACAGCTCCATTTCAAGCCCTCGGTCATCTCCGCAGCTAGCATAAAATGCTAATATGAAAACTCTGCCAAAATTATTTGAAATAAAGCAGAAGCTTAAAATAGGAAACAGCTAAGAGTCCCATTTGTGAACAGCTTATTCTTCAAGGAAGCTACAACATGGTTAAGATCAGTACAGGTGGAAAAAATCCATCAGACATCTAGACAGTACTGAATAGACAAGAAAAAAATACAGCTGTCCTGGGTCAAGCTGAAGGTCTGTTAGTCTAAAAGCCTGCTGGCAGCCAGGGCTGGGGGATGAACACTAAGGGAAGCAGATAAAGGCAGTCAAGAACATGGAGGTGCTTCCTTGGAGTTGCTGGTTGAGCTTTAGGTTGACTTTCTGATGACTCTGGCAGCTTCTATGGCTGTAATAGCACCCTAATGCCCTCTGAATGGATACAGGGGTCAAAAAGCCCCTAACAATGCCAGGGGAAAATAATCCTGTCCTGGCTTGAAATGTCCTGTGTCAGAGCTAATGTGTGTGGAACTGAAAGACATCTCCTGTTGTTTGCACTCAGCTGAGTCACAGGGCAGCCCTGAGCAGTTGGTCTGGGTGGGTTTGTTAGAGCCAAACAGCTGAAACTATTGAAGGGCAAATGGTAAGTACTGATTTACTCTGACAATGCAACAAAAGCTGTAACTTGGCCTGCCAGTTCTACTTAACTGTCAGAAGTGGTTTGGAGCTTCTCAAACACCTTGAGGTTTGCGTTCCAGCGGTGCCAGTGGCTGTGGTCCTGCAGGGAGCAGTGCAGCAGGCCCCTCTTACACTGGGGCTGGCTGCTCCCCACCAGGGATAGCTCTAGAGCAGTCCCCAGGGGCTGCTGTGGTCAGACTAAGTCCTTTCGAATCCCCTACAAAAATAGAACAAATTGTCCCTGGAAGTGTTGAAGGCCATGTTGGATGGGGCTTGGAGCAACCTGGGTGGAAGGTGCTTCTGTCTTTAGGGTGATCTTTAATCCTACAAGCCATTGTAGGATTATAAGAAATCAAGATGAAAGCTGGGATGTGCATGTGCATGCCCCCTTTCTAACAAAAACACCTGTTTAATGATGGCCTGTGGTTGGGGGGCTTCTGGGCACTGGGGAACTGCTCCACTTGGTCTTACCCAGTCTGAAAAACGAAGCCTGGCTGCTGTCCTGCGCCACTGTGAGCCAAGGGGAGGTGCTGGGTAGAGCAGTGCTCCTCTTGTCTGGGTTTCTCAAGGAGGGTGGGGCAGAGACCTACCACCTAAGGCAGGGAATTACATCTCTGTAAATCAAGAGTAAACAGAATGAAAGCACCAGCTTGCTTTAATGCAGTGACACATGAATAATCAAAAGTCAGGCTTGTTGTAATGTCTCAGTTGATCGAATGTGTTTGGTTAGCTCATGCCGTGAATAAACTGAAGAGGAAACTAGAGGGAAAACACATAGCATAGAGTTTAACCAGACATATTTACCTGTTCTGAATATGCCTTGCATCATTCTATATTACTGTAAAAATTAAAACCACATTTAGGATGATGTAAATGAAATGGTAATTTCTGAAAATCTCTTTTATGGGCTAAAGGATTGGTCTTGTTGCTGACCACAAACTGTACCTGGACCTGTCATTAGTTCCTCAGGAAAGAAATTAGAAGTTTTATAAGGTTCTGGCACTCTGACAAAACCAGCAGGAAAGAATTGTGGAGGCTTAAAGAGCTGTGTGATATTTATAGAATAAAAGCATGGAATCGTTTAGGATGGAAATGATCTTAAAGCTCCTTGATTCCAGCTGTTACCCCACCACTGCCAAGGCTCCCACTAAACCATGCTCACAAGTGCCATAGCTGCTAAATCCCTCTGGAGTTGGTGACCATGCAGGGCTTGAAAGAGACAAGTCATTTGGATGTCAGTCCAGAAAAAGTGATGTCAAACGTGACCTCTCCCCAGGCAGCAGTCATGGGGATGGTGGTTACCCAGAGAAGAGGGTTTCATGTGCTGATTAGGGACTGACTCTTGCAGCATCACGAAAGGTCTTCAAGCCAGAGGTGTGTGAAGCATCTGGAAAGAGTGTATTACATTTATTTCAAACAAGAGACAAATGTGAAGAGGGGACCTGGTCACACAGTGGCTGGAGTTGACTGACATTCCTTATTTCAAAGGATGTTGTTGTAGGGGATGGCCCTTGGAGACCTGGGGCTTACCTGAGAGCTCTGACATCCAAGCTCAGGTGGGTGATGTTGGTGTAGAGAAAACGCATGTTCTCCAGAAATAACTGTTCCCTTTACCTGCATCTTATTCCAAGAAACTGACTTCTTTTTAAAGAAACCCAACATTCTTTTAAGTAACCTTTTTCTTTTTTTCCCAGATTAACCCTGGCAGTAAAGCAGCCATGGCAGACTTGTGCCCAGGAGACATTATTCTGGCAATTAACGGAGAGAACACGGACAACATGACACATCTAGAAGCTCAGAACAAGATCAAAGCATGTGTGGACCAGCTGCTGCTCTCTGTGAACAGGTTGGTTCTCTCCGTTGTGCTCTTGTGTCAGTTTTGCTCAGAGGGCTTTTGGCTGGCCCTGGAGCAGATGTGCTCTCAGGCTGGGTTCTTGGAGGATCCCCATGGTCTGGGTAGTTATCCCGTGTTTTCAAAAACAGTAAAAAAAAAGATTAGTAATGGTTTACTGGTAGAAAAAGTGGGTTCAGTTCATTTTTACATGTAGATTTGTACCTTGTAAGGCTTGTCCAGGCTGTGGCCTGAGGTGAGTCTTTGTGGTTGTGTCAACTCAAACAAGAGTAGCATGGGAATTGAAATGTCCTTTGGACAAACCCTTCCACTTCATTACCATACACTCATCATTTTAAGCATCTGTTCAATAATAAAACATTTGAAGGTCCTGCCAAATTATTTTTTTACAGTATTTCAAAGCAAAATGAAGGTATGAGTTTGGTATTGGTGTTTTTTATTGTCTGTTTGTTTTTTTATTTTTAATTGGGGTGGTGTGTGTGTTGTGGGGTTTTGGTTTGGTTGGTTTAGTTTTCTTGGGTTTTTTTTTTTTTTTTTTTTTTTTTTTTTATTTGATTTCTATTGAAATTAATTTTATAGCAAAATCACAAATTAATCAAGCAAAATGAACTCCTTATAAGGTTCACAAATGGCTAATACTTTCTGGCATAAGTTTAAATAAGAGGATATAGTTTTCCACTTCAGATTAAAGAGGCATTTCCTGATATAAAGAGCTATCATTTACTGTTTATACTTTTCTTGGAAAACCATGTAGTTCTAACTAGATGCCTGGGCAGTGGGGAAGGAGCACTGCCATAAATGGAGCAAGCCCTCAGTGATTCCTCGTGGTTCCTCAGACAGGCATCTCTGAGCTGCCTGGCTACAGCAAAGTCCTCTGAGCCCAGCCCATGGTGTACAGATGATGTGGCTTCAGTATTACAAAAGAAAGAAAATAAGGAAAGCAAGCAAAACCACTTCACACTGGTGGAATTTCCCATAGCCAAGGAGAGCAGTTATTTTGCCTTTCATCTGGAGCAGTTTTAGGGAGACTAGGTGATTTTCTACCACCAAGAGGACCTGTGGCCAGGGCAGGACCAGGGCTCCCTTCCTGTCTGCAGGCTGCTGGAGCTGTCCTTGGAAGAGGTGAAAATCCTTGTGTAGTGACAGGAGGTTTTGGTGAGCCACCAGCTGCTGGGGTGGTGTAGCAGCACAGCAGCTTCATTGGGAGTTAGAACCATGTTTTGCTGAAAGCAGCTTTCACCGGCAGCATGGCAGTGTTTATTCTCATGGAAGAGGGTTTCTCCTGTGTGAATTGATGGACTGAATTCCTGCCTTTACACTTCATTTTAGCCACTGATACCAATTGGTGTTAGTTTTTTGGATCAGAATGAACCCTTGAATATCTGTGCAGGTGCATCTCCTCTCCTAAGTGGTAATCCTGCACAGGGCAGAGGTTGTGGTCACAGTGGTCTCACAGCAGTGTTGGTATGTGCCTTGCTGGGGTTAGGGATGCTCTGGCTGCTTAGTTTCCCTTTCCATGGTCATTCATGACCTCAGGGTGATCTGGAAGATGCTGTGTGGAGGGTCTGTAGCTTCAGATGGTTTTTTCCCAACTATAGCTAGCAAGGTGTGGATATTTTTAACAGTGAGACCTTGTGGTGTGTCCAGAGGAGGTGGATTTTCTAACAGAGATGTTGCTGGTAGTGGCCCCCAGCCTTTCAGTGGTGCAGGGTTTGTGGGTGATGTGGCTGGTCTTTGCTAAGCAGTAGGATTGCAATGGTTTTGTCAGGCCTTAAAGTCTTCATAAACACAGATTTTAAAGACTTCTGTATCTCATAGGCAAAAATAAATGCTCAGGGCTCTGCAAAGAAGGAACAGATAGTGTGCTGAGGAGCTGTTCAGTTTGGGGTGGCTCCTTTGGAGATCACACTGTTGGATCAGTTTGGTGGCTTCTCCAAGGGCAGAACTCACCTTGGATGTGCCCAGAGAGGTCCATGAGAGTGGCATTTCTCTTGGCAGGAAAAACTGAGTAGTTTGGTTTTTTTCTGCAGTAGGGACAGCAGCTCCAGTGATGAGCTATTAGGTCTATTTTTAGTTTGGCCCAAAGTGGGTGCACAATGACTTGGTTCTTGGATTTCTCTCCTGTCTCCCAAGTGGCCTGTTAGATCCTGTTGCCCAGCTGTTAGTCATTGCTGGAAGCACATCTGGCATTCCCTCTAGGTGAGAGTGGATCCCTGCCCCAGGATCTGCCTCCTAGAATGTGGGCTGACCTGGTCCTGCTCAGGGAGCCATGTCCTGGGGCAATAATGAGGGATTTTGTTGGTTTGTGTGCATGTCCAGCCACTGCTGTTTGTCTCAGCTTTGGATCAACACCCTGGACCCTGCTGCTCTGAGGCTGAGCTTCAAGAAAGCTCTGCCTGTGGTGTGTATTAGTATCTTTTCCTTTGGGCAGAGGTTGTTCTTCAGGCAACACCTTTTCTGTACACTTGCCTTCAACAAAATACAGTTTGCAAGCCAACACAAGAAGATTTGCCTGAAATACATTTGAAATAAGAAGCCTGTTTGTTGCATGTCTTTAGTGAAGAACTGTTTTGTCAAAGCAGGCTTCCTCCAGCCAGGACTGAGTGAAGGGGAGGACAGGGAGCTGTGCAGTGCTGCCATCCCCCTGCTGCCCTCTGGACTGATTCATTCCGTGCCCTTTCTCCATCAACCCTTGACATTATGTGCTGCTGAGATTGAGAACAAGATGGATTTTGTTTCTGGTCAGTAAATGCCCTTAGACTAGGAAGTTCAGTAGAAAAGTCAGAATGTGGGGAAAACAAGAAAGGGGAGTTACTGAGTGGCCTGACCAAGACTAAGTATCATGCATCAAATAAAGGCAGACATAAATTGGGTTGGAGCTGTGTTCTGCTGAAATCACTGCTTGAAAGGACCTTGGGTGCGGGATGGGAGCCCTCACGGCACTGCTGTTCCTGCTGACAGAGACTGCCAGGAAACCCTTGGCAGCACTGTCCAGACCTGCCCATCTGTGCCAGAGGGCCCGGGCGAGCCCCACAGCTTTTTCTGAACCTTTTGTCATCTGCCAGGAAGGATGAAGGCTTGTGCTGCAGCTTTCCTGAACAAACTGGCTCTATGCCCTCATTGGGAAAACTGGTGAGGGGATGTCACAGGTTTTTAAGCATGTTGGGCTCCATGGCTCTCTTGTGCCCCTGGAGCCCACAGTCAGTGTTTGTACCTGTGAAGCTGCCCCTGCTCTCAGGCTGGACTAGCAGATATTTCCTTTCCTTCAAATCTCTTTGTCCTTTATCAAGGATAAATCTCTTGAGGGGGTTTTACTTCCTTCTTCACACCCTCCATTTTCTACCTCCTTTCTTGGGCAGGCCCCTGACCTCCCTGAAGTTAGTGGGTGTTTTGTCCCTGGATTTTCTGGATCCTGCTCTTCCCCAACATATGCAAGTCTGTCTTTGGGCAGTGAGGCTGTGAAAGGCAAAGCAGCACAGTGCCTCACTGTTCTGAAACAAAGTGGTTGAAAATCCTCATTGGTTTACGAAAGGAGTTGATTTATGTAACTGATGCCTATGTGGGCACTGATGTAAGATGTGAGGAATTACTTGGGCACTCCTGGAACAAGGGATGGATGCTCAGGCTGTGGTTAATGGCTCTAAAATGGGAGGCCAGGAGTTCCCATGGCCTTATTGAGGCTGTGGGGAAGGCAGTGATGGTGCTGATTAAGATTTGGTGGGATGGTTCAGGCTGCTCTGCTGATAAATTAGGCAGCTGTTCCATAATCATGTTCCCAGCTGTTGAATCTCAAGCCAAAGTAGCATGAGATGTACTTTGCCTGCCGTAGTGCAGGAAGGGTCAGGCCAGTTATGTGGCAGCTGTTTGAAGAAAGATCCGGGGTGTCGAGCAGCCCCATGAACTATTACTCACAAACACCTGGTAAAACTTGTTCTTTTTACTCACTGTGAAGTTGCTTCCAAGTTACACAACAAATTCCTTAAGAGGCAAGAAGTGTGTTAGTGTGCTGTGCCAGGGGAGGTTTCAATTGGCTGTTAGGGAAAATTTCTTTGCTGAAAGGGTTTTCAAGCCGAGGGACCTCATATCCCTGAAGGGATTTAGAAGTCTTGTGGATGTGGCACTTGGGGACATGGTTTAGTGGTGGGCTTGGCAATGCTGGGGTAGCAGGGGGGCTTTATGGTCTAAGAGGGCTTTTTCAACTTTCACACTTTATGATTTCCAGTCCAATCTGCTTCCAGCCCTTTCTTTTGGCAACAGCCCTGGGGCTATTGTGCACAGGGCCAGGAGGGTGCTGGACAGCTGGGAGCATCTGCCCAGCCCCAGGTGCAGCCAAGAACCCCAGGGTGGTTGAGTTGAATTTATTTCCTGACTGTGGTGTCAGAGAATAAATCCTCAAAGGTTCAGCTTTGATTCCTCCTGTCTAAACTAAATCCTGGAAGCAGTTTCTTCCCCCTTGGTTTGGTGTGTATGTCACTGCTGAGTCTGATTGGAGAATTGACTGTGAAGATTCCCTGTCTATTCCTGCTCTGTGTAAAGAGATGGAGTTTCTCTGAAAGTTTCTGTGTAAGAAAGCCCAGTAATGAATCTGCTGGACATGTAGCCCCAAAAGTACCTGGAACCTCACGTAGTTGATGTTCCTTCCATCTTCCCCAGTTCCTGGGGATTTTACTGGGGTCTGTTAGCTGTAAGCAGCACAGGCAAGCTGCTGGAAGATGGGAAGGATGACAATGTATGTTCTCAAGTTTCCAGTAAATGTACAACTGAAAAAGTGAATCACAGCTTCCCCTCTGGACTCCTCGAAGACTAATAGAGAGGAAACCCGGCAGCTTTCCAGAGCAATACACAATGGTTTCAGCTGAGAGGAATGAAGGAGGAGAAATCCTACAGCTTCTTCACATTGACTGAATGAACTGTGTCCTTTGGGGTGCTGAGCAGAGCTCAGCTCCCATGCTGCTCATCTGCCTTGCAGAGGATGGATCCAACACCTCACAGTTATTGTGGTGAGGTTCACAAGCCTGGGAAGTTTGAAGGATCAGCTGTAGCTGCTTCTGGACCAAGTTCAGCTTCTAGAAGGCTAATGGCCATATCAGTGGTAACAATCAGCTGTGAGCACAATGATGTGCCACAGTGGGAGTTGAAGAGCAGTCAGGAGATGGGCAGGACCCTGGAGTCACCTCGAAGGGAAAGGAGGTGAAGTATAGCAACATGATTATTCTGGTGGTTTGCGGCTGCATGGTAAAAGCAGTGACCTGGAGCCGGGTTGGCACTTCCCCAGGTGATAAATGTTAGTTTTTAGGAGATGGAGAAATTAGAAATTTGGTAAGACACAGGAATTCTTGCAACTTAAAAGCAGCTCTACAAATGTTGAGAGTTAGACTTGCAGATCACTACCAGGTGAAAAAACATTCTGGTAAAATATGTGAGTGCATGCAAGTAATCCTTTGAGAATGACTGAAACTTTTACAAGCAAATAGTGGGATAAATGGGTGTCTGCAGCTTCAGATTTTTGTGATGTCCTGTTTATGGGTCCATTTTCTACAAAGCCCTGTGTGGAAGGCCTTGCACTAACCTAGGTCAAGTTATTTTTCTTGGGATTGTCCTAGATGCCATTAAGAGAGCAGAGTGGTGTGAGTGCAGGGTAATGATTTCCACAGAGCTGCCTTTAATCCCCTATAGCACATCTGAGAACACTTTTCCTGTCCTTGAGCTGTAAATTAAACAACTCGGAACATTTGAGTGATGCCTGATCTGTTGCCTGTGACGTATGAGAAACGTGTTCGGCTTTTGCTGTTGCCTAAACACAAAGCTCTGACTGTTGGTAGGGTGAACCTGCTGCTGGGGGGTGTCTCAGGGTGACTCTGCTGGCCCCCAAGTCCCCACTGCTCTGGGGCTTGTTCTGGGGGTACAGGGACCCCTGTGCTGCTGGCCCTGCTGGGGATAGGGGCATGGGATGTTCCTGGCAGCCAGGATTGGGGCGTGAGTCCAAGCATCAGCCTCTCCTGCAGTAGCATTGTTCTCCCAGGAGGAGTAATCTCTTAATTATTTTGGATTATTTCAGATTACATGGTGTTTTGCTGTTCCCAGGGAAAAGAGGGGTTCTCCCTGTGTAAGCATAAATTCTCATTAAACTTGCATCTTGATTTTTTTTGGTGAGGCTGGTGGTTCTCCCATTCACCTTAGCTTTGCCTTTCTAAGTGCCAAGTGGAGCCCAGATTGTGCTGTATCAGCTTGTTGCAGTGTAGTTCAGGTGGAAGCTGGGCTGATGTGAGCCTGGCTTTGTTCAGACTGTTGCTGGAAGCTGTCAAAGTTGGTCTCAGTTATACCAAGAACTTTCTGTCACTCTGCAGAGCTGGTGGTGAAGCCTTGAGTTTAATCATTAAAGCATTAAGCATGAATGGACTTCTCCATGTAAACTGAAGTCTTGTCTATGTCTGTCATTAAATGTAAATATACCCATGATGACTATTAGAAAGCACAGAATTATCTGCTTTCTGGTCAGACAGTGTGACCTGTGTCAGGGGTTTGGAGAACTGGGAAGTGCTGGCAGTACTGGTGACTGAATGCCATACCTTCACACAGAATGAATTTACTGCTATTGCTCTTATCTCCTGCAATCAGAATCACTTGCTGCAACTCTGTTCTTATTTACTGGCAGGTTGAAGTCTTTGGGGATGCTTTAGGCTGTGTTTGGCATGTGGGCTTCAGAGCTGAGAGGGGGAAAGTCATCATGGACCCTCCTCAGGGCACCACGGGCTCTCAGTGCAGGGGAAAGCACAGAAATAATAATGGTGATCCCTGCCAATGTAATTAGGCATTTCCATTGTTCTGGGCCTCTGGATCTGATTTTCAATGGGGAAGCAATGCACACAGCAGCAGATCATGGCAAAAAGCAAGTTGAGGTTGCTGGGAATGCTGATGTTCCTGGGAGGGACTGTTTCCTTTGTCCCAGTTGGAAAGACCAATTTATTAGTGAATTGTCCCAGCTTTAAATCAGATAATAACAGTAAAGATAAATTACCAGAACAAGATACCTAGCTATGAGAGTAATCACTCCCTGTTGAAAAAGCTGTAAGGGCAGTAATGAGAAAAAAAAAGCTGAAATCCTCAGGGGCTGGATCCAAAATGTGTTCAAGTCAGTGGAAATCCCTGTATTTGGTAGATTTTGGGTCAGACCCTGGATTTGTAAAGACAGCTTTGTATGTTGACTTGTGTAGCTGCAAAATAACAAAGGTAAAAATCTCCTTGAGAATTCCTGGGTTAAAATCATGCTCCTTATTTTTCAAACTTGGACTCTGCAGATAATTTAACTGAAAGTGAACATTCTATGTGGCAGGGGTGAGAGTCCACAAAGGCTGCATCTGTGCCCATGGAACAACACCTATTTTTGTGAAGTGTTGCATATTCGGACTGTGATGATAAACAGAATAGTCTGCATGTTGAAAGCTTTGTCTTGAACTTACTGGAGTTTCCATCTTCCGACTTAACCTCCTTGCACCCTGAGAAGGCTATGGATGTACCTGCTGGACCTTGCCCAAGCCCCTGTGACTCCCTCATACCCTAACTGTTGAAGATCTATGCTGGAGATCACATTCCAGCCATGTCCCCAGATGCCTTTGTGGGGAAAAAATGATCAGGCACATGGAAAATCTTTGGACAATGACAGTATTCTGCTCTGCCTTGGCAGGATTGAAGATGCATTTGGGAATGGAAACTGTATTTTTAGGGCTTTTTCTATCTGGCAACTGTTGAAAGGGTCAGGATGATTCATACAGGGTGGTGAAAGCCTTCTCCCTGAAAGGTGTTTATAGAGTTCCTGATGTGGTCTAGTACACAGCCCTGCCAGGGATTGCATGTATATATGTATAAATATGTCTGTACATGTGCAATCAGAATACTTTCTGGATTCAGGGCCAGAATAAAGGGACAAAGTCAGGAATATGCAAAACAGGAGCCACCAAGAGCCTCTATTCTGATTTCTTGAACCAAAATAAGTTTGTCTCTTTGACCCCAAACTGAGACAGATGGAACCTTGTAGTTCAAGGATGGTTTTGAGCTTCATGGTTTTAATAGGATAAAACTATCATATTCTCTATTTATCATTGTAATGTTTCTGAGGATAATTCTGGACAAATGCAGATATAATATAAACCTGCTAGGGAATTAATAGATGCTATATATATTTGGCTTTTTCTTTTTTTGGCTTGTTTGTTTTGGCTTTTTTTTTTTCTTTAATTTGTTTAATTGCTTTTATGTTTTGTTTAAGGAGCCTGTTTCTTTCTTTGGGATTTTTGTGGGTTTTGTTTGTTTGGGCGGGAGTGCCTTGGTTTGGGCTTTCTTAAAAGCAATTCAAGTGGAGTTTACTTAATTTCCCACTGCAGAGCTGAAGGGAAGACCTGGTCCCCCCCTGTCCTGGAAGATGGCAAGGCTCAAGCATACAGGATCAACATCGAGCCGGACCCACAGGTATGGCAGCTGCAACCCTGCCCCACATCTGCTGCTCTCCCAACTTGCTGTTGAGGAGAGGACATCCATGTCTGGAGAGCCCTGCAGTCCTCCCAGGAGTGAAGGAGTTTCCACATGTGATTTTAAAGTTCTTTGCAGGTCTATCTGTGCTTTCCTTGGGCTGGTTCCCACGGTGAGCCAGATCCTGAGCAGGTCTGGCACAATCCCATCTGTGTCATTGCCTCCCAGCCCAGCCAGGCTTTGCTGGATCAGCTTGCTGGGGACACAGGGTGACTGGGCAGCAGCTGGGGGGTGGCATCCAGCACTGGTCCCTGGAGGCCATGACCAAGCTCAGAGTTAGTGTTATTTTGGCTGGAGCTCTTGGGAGTCCTCTGACTGTCCAGTGCCTGCCCTTGCTGGGGTACAACACGCCCAGGGTCTGTCTGTCTGCATCTGCCTCAGCTGGTGTGCCTCTGCTTTGGCTGCTTCCAAAATCTGCTGCATCCCTTCCAGTCCTGTGGCAGTGATTCACCTCCCATGATGGTGAATTTCTTTTGTTTGTTTTTTTGTTTGGAATATTTTTTAAAATAATGTTCTCATCTTTTTTCTTTGGTTTTTTTTTTTTTTTTTTTTTTTTTTTTTTCTTTCTTTTTTTTTCTCTCTGTTTTGCAGCTCCTCTCTTCCCTCTGTCCTCAGCTCTGTTCCCTGGAGCCTTCTACCTGTATCCTGCCCTGCCATACTACCCTGTCTCCTGCAGCAGCCAGGTGGTGGATGGAGCTGAGCAGGTCTCCTCATCTTTCCTACCTATCTCTAATGGCTTGTTAGCAAGGTCAGAGGTGACTCTCATTCTCCTTTGGCTTCTTGATAGAAAGATAAATGGGGTTTCTCTTCTCCTCTGCTTATAAGGTACTGGATTGTCAATTTTTGCAGTGCTGGTCCCTGTTGTGGAGATACCTGGGGTACAAGGAGGAGACCAGGAGGATAGATAGGCAGAGGGCAGCTCCTGCTGTCTGGCTCCCCTTGAAAGTGGGCTGAGCTGGTGCACATGCTGCCAGCTTTCCCAGGGACACGAGGTCATGGATGGCAGGGCTTGAGCCTGCTGAGGCTTCTCACTGCTGTAGGATGGCCGCCAGGGCTGTGGTGGAGACCCTGGGGCTGCCTACAGCCTTCAGAATGTCGAAGTGTGTCAGTTCAGGCTGACAGAATCCCCTGTGCTTGTCCCAAACCATGTCAGCACCCTTTGGCTGATGCTGAGTGTTCAAATATTGCTCAGATGGTCATCACCTCCACAGAGGTGGTTTATGTCATATGCTTTTCCATGCTTTTTCTCCAGCCCTTACAAAATGCCTGTGTGCAGGATCTGCTGGTTTAGTTCAACTGCTCCTTTCTAGAGAGGCTTTTAGAGGTCCTGGTGAGGGTTCCAGGGTTCCCCCTCAGCCATCCCTTGCCTCAGTTCAGAAGGAATACAAGAGCTGCAAGGGTGGAAGAGAGGGGATGATGCCACAAGGAGTGGTGTCTCCTTCAGTGAGGAATGAGGAGAAAGTACTGGCAGCAGAGAGCCCACCGAGTGCTCAGGATGAGGATGAGATCCTCCAAACCCCAAGAGAAATGGACAAGAGTGTGAGGCCTTTGAGTCTGTTGGCCATTCCAGTGATGTGGAATTTGCAGATAGTCTGCATTTCTGCCCAGGACAGCAGGCAGAGGCACAGCACAACAGCAGCACTGGCACAGCTGCCTCGGTACCACACACCAGCAGCACGTGGGGCTGTTTGTCTTTCCTGCCCTGACTTACAGCACAGGCTGATGTGTGAGCTTGGGCTTTGCATTCTGGCCATGTTTGCTTCATTTATCAATTACAGCCATCTTTTCTGACAGATATTTTTTCTTACTGTACTTTACCTATGAATAATATTAAATGAAGAACAAATGTGCAGCAGTTCCACTGCCAGATACAACTTCCTGAGGTTTAATGCAGATTGGATTTGAATCTGACTATTAATATATGTTACATATGGATCTTTTTAAAAATTAGACAGTTTTATAGAATATAACAAAGGGAATAGGGAATGGACTATTCTAAATACAGACCTACACTAAAAATATGTAAATCTGGGGAGTAGGTGTGTAAAGCAGATGTGTTTGTGGTAGGGCACTGAGAGAGGTGTGTGAACAAGGGTCCACAAGTACAGGCAGCAGGTTCCTGCTCTTGCT